CGATAGCATGAGACAAAAGTAAAAGCGAAAGTCTATTCTGATTATTCTGAATCAGCTTCTGGGATGGTATCAAATCACATCATACAAAATTAAGCAATTGGACTAGTTACTCATTTTGTAACATTGTTGACTTCGTTTATACAATTTGACCAAGGAGAGGGTAGATTATGAGACGTTTCAAAAAATAAAAAGCCATGCAGTTAGAAAACGCTTTTTTGAAAATGCTGAGCGATAAAAAGTATTTACAAAACAATAACAAATTCGAAAATGTAATAGAAAAATGCATACTTTTATGTCGGCTCCAGACAGATCATCCTTAGCCATAATCAGCTCTTGAAGATTGACGTCTTCAGCTAAGGTCATACGAGACGTATGAATATTGAATATCCGTCGCTTAGTTTTCTCATCGGGTAAAGGAAATTCGATTTTACGATCTATTCGGCCAGGTCGAATTAATGCTGGATCTAGTGTTTCAATTCGATTCGTTGCCATGATCACCTGAAAATAGTTCAAAATGAAAAACTGATTTCTTGAAAACACCTAATCGGGGGGCTGGGTATTCACGAAAATTGTAATTATACGATTGAAAATTCTGACGAGCTTCCATCATTTTCTACAAATCCGAAAATTGAGAGTCGAAAATCTATCGATTCCCCTCTATCCATCTAAAAGGTTCCATACCAACGATATCAATCTTTTATAGACACAAAATAACGATACATATGCTCAATTTGCAAGCCACCTTCACTAACATTTTTTTTACTTAAATCATATTACTCATGTTCAAACTAGATGCCTAAAAGAAGAAGTGCTACATGAAAAAATGATTTTTATGCCATAAATTTATGGAATTTGTGTGAACATTTGAAGACCAACATTTTCAATGGTAGAATATGACAATCTTCATCTAAAATTTCAAAATTTCCACTTTCAATGGTTTTTAAAAGATTTTCATTCCAAAATAAAATCTTACAAAGATTCGAGCCACTTTTTCATTGAATTTTCTTACATCTCAATAATAGTTCAAAGAATTGAAATTTGAAAATTAAAATGTAAAAGCTTAAACACACGTTACATATTAACATTACCAAAAATTACACGAATTTTCACCAAGATTTTTGTTCAAATTAGCATTTTTGCTATCATCAATCTAATAGTGTACAGTTACTTACAGCAAGCGTCAAGAAATAGACGAGATATTGAAATCTTATATACAGGTAAATTGTTATGTCACACACCAAACGAAACCTTTACTTGGTGGTGAAACGATTCACAATGCAAAATCACGCCGAAGAGGCGAATGTGTTCAGTGTTAGCACCAATGCAATCAATTATGAAAATCATCAGTAATTTAATGATATTTTTTTCACGTGAAATATTTCCAAAATTGAATTTTTCAAATGAAAATATTTCAATAATTTGAATTAAAATCAATAACAATGCCGTTTTTTCTCGGGGAAGAGAAGGAGAGATTTATTTTTCAACACCTACAGATAATAATTTTCAGTTAATTCTTATCTTATTTTATTTCTTTGTTTTTTTTTTCATTGACAAAAAAGTTTTTTCTTTCTTGCATGTTCGGGAGTTCAATATATTTTATGCTTACTTAAAGAATTGAATTGAAATAGAGCAAGAATTTCATTATAAGTGATTTTACTGTAATCAAGGGAAATATTTTATTTAAAAAATTTCATTTTCAAGACATAGCAAACCCAACACTTGGAGCACAAAATGAAATAAAATTGGCTGATAAAATAAAATAGGGGGAAAAGTGGAAAGAAATAAAAAGAAAGGAAATTGAAAATACTTTTCAAAAAACGGTTTTTAAAAAAAAAATAATAATTTGAAAAAACAACAATTTTTTAACGAATAATAGTTCAAAAAAAAATAATTTCAAAAAAAATTTCAAAACACGAAAATTTTGAAAACTAGGGTCATACAAGCAGCTTATTTATTATTTATTTATCAATATATTGGTGAAAACAAATTCACCTCTTAAGGCACTTTGGCGTTATGAATCGTTTTAACAGGCACCAAAATTAGGTTTTTCGTCTAGTGCGTGTCAAAACAATTCATCCGTTCACAATATACAGCATATCAGTCAGTTACTTAACTGAATTTCAAGCAATTAGATAATAATAACTACGAATACATTCCATAGAAATTTGAAAAAAAAAAAAAAAATAGGATTCAAAAAATTCTAAATTACCTTGACATCTCCGCGGGAATCAAACCCATCCAACTGATTCAGTAATTCTAACATGGTACGTTGAATTTCACGTTCACCTCCTGAATTGGAATCGTATCGTTTGGTACCGACAGCGTCGATTTCATCGATAAACACTATCGAAGGCGCGTGTTCTTCGGCTACTCTGAACAGTTCGCGAACTAATTTAGGTCCATCACCCTACATAAAAGAAATCAGAAATTAATAGGAAGATTTAAAACTAAAAATCTAAAAATTCGGAGCGATAAGCCAGCACTGTTGATGAGAATTTCCAAACTAAAACTACAAGTGAGGAGTTTTGTTGCAAAACGTAACTAACGACATTTCGAACAATTTCGAGTTAGCTATGGGGCCCTGTAAGAAATTTAGTGAGGAATCCACCGATGATGCCAGAATTTTTTAAAAATTATTTACTGACCCATTTTGAGAGTTTGTAATTTTGTTTTGTCGTAAAATGTAACAAATCCATAAGTTTTTACATTTGACCGTATGAAGGTTGACTGAATTTTTTTCTGATACAAGTGCATATTAGCCATAGTTATACCACAACGCAAGAGTGTTGCCAGATCAGTTTTTTATTAATCCTCGTTTCAGAAACAATTTGACAATAGGTCTGTTTGCACGCTTTCAGATTTGTCAGATTCTGAGTATTCTGAAAGAAGTTCATCCATAAAACTGGTTTTGTGAGTACTTTTATGAATGAACTTCTTTCAGAATATTCAGAATCTGACAAAACTGAAAGCGTGCAAACAGACCTAATTTCACCGATGCAAAAAATCCTTACAAATCCTTATACTCCAAAAATCTGCAAAATCTCTACAAAACTTCAAAAATCCTTCTAAAAAACCGCAAACTTTCAAAATTTTCTACAAAATTCAAACATATTTTTGAAAATTTTCTCATTTTTCTCATTGTATGCAGGAATCCCGCAAAATGTCGGCCAAGCAAAGCGACGCCAAAGAAAATATTTTTTCAAATTTTCTAACCTTTAGAGTCACCT